AAGATAACATCCTATTAGTAGAAGGTGGTAAATTACTCCCATCACCCGATTTATCGTGCATGACTCTATCCTTCATTTCATCCAACCCAAGGTGGTAAATTACTAGCAAGTTGTACAATGGCGATCAATTTCTTGTTCATCCTCTCATAGCAACTTGTATTGAAATCATCCCCAAAGCCAGTGTATGTGGTTTTGATGCATGTGTACTCTCGAACCAAATCTTTCCTCTAACGTGGCATAATGTATTTACTTGGCACCTCATTTATGCACCTTCTCACAAGCACCGCGAGTGAGTGAGCACACATAATGCCTCTAAACTGAAACAACCGACACATACATTGAACTTCACATTCAATTGAATTAAAATAGACAACAAAGTCCACATGCTTCATCTTGTCACAAACTACCATCGCTTCTTGGACGTTATATGTACAAATTGCTCCCTCCTCTTTGACAATCAAGGCCTGACAGTAAACTAATCTCTTCAACTCCCCTTGAACTTCTTTGAATTTTGGATTGGTGTAGGCTTGCTGAAATTGCTTCTCAAAGCCATATATAGTTAGACAATCAAACAATTTGTGTCGAGACTTGAAATCTGATTTCTTCTCTTTCTCTACCTTACTTCTTAATACATTGTCATATTGTTCAACAAATTGTTTTAATGTAGTCTTCGGGTTGACATATCCATCAAAAAATACATTCATGCTTTCACTTCGTTGTGTTGTTGGCATGCCAGCCCAAAAAATGTCTTTAACATATACAGGAACCCATCGATGCTGCTCATCATATAGTACCCCCAACCACTCATTATCATAAAGATTGAATTTAGTAAGCATCTCTTCTCATTTTTTTCTCAAATTCATCTCTTGTCAAACAATCATAAACTGCATTTTGCATAGCCAACTTTATGGGTTCATATTGAGCATAACCTTTCAACTTCTCCGGTATTTTCCTCATTATATGTCATAAGCACCATCGATGCCGAGCCTGTGGAAAGACAATTTCTATAGCATTTTGCATAGCTCTGCACTGATAAGTTATGATAGCTTTTGGAGGATTATTTGACATGCAACTTAACCACGACTTGAATAGCCAAACAAATGTGTCGGTGTCTTCACTATGTTAGGGAAAATCGATGTGATTCCCCACAAGTAAATCAATCAATGGGAATAAAAACTAATGCGGAAAAATTAAATCAAAGGCAACACAAGAATTTTTACGTGGTTCCCTCAATGTGAGGTACGTCCACGGGATCGAAATCCGATTCCACTATCAACCAAATAAGTTCCAAACGATTACAAACGAGACACTAATAGTCTCACAAAACCACCCTTAGGTGAATTCTAAATAATCACAAATAAACAAGAGGAAAGACCTCACCAAATAGATGAACCAAAATCTTCAGAATCAGAGTTGTAGAAGACCCAAAATAACGAACCCAAATCAGAACCGAAAGCTGAAGATGCACCAAAGCACTCCCACCGAATTGATTGATTTCAAATGCACTGTATTAGCCGCAGCACTTCGAAAAAGTGTTTTTCACCCACAAACAAAGCCGCCGTCCTTGCTTGGGAAAAACAACCCAAAAAAATATATTAAATCTTAGGTTTTGGAATCAAACCCTAATTGTATCCAAATTGAATTGGGCCTCCACAAATATAATATATAAAAATATATTATACCTAAACCAAGCTAAATTAAAATTCTTTAACAAACCAATTGGGTCCCACACTCCAATAAGGAGGTATACTCAACAATTCTCCCCTACCGACTTAGGTGGAGAGATTAACCACACCCGCCAAAGTTCGACACTTTAAATGTTTGTCCTTCGACAAAGTCTTTGTCAACATATCTGAAATATTATTATCTGTGTGAACCTTTTCGAGTTGTAACAATTTCGAATCTAACACATCACGAATCCAATGGTATCTCACATCAATGTGTTTCGATCTCGAATGAAAAGTAGAAGTGCTCTATGAGCTATAGAAAAGCCAACATGCTTAGCATACGTGGCATAAAATGTATACACTTCTTCCCTTGAGCTAAAACACATACCCTTCTTAGGTTCTTCAACTTGTTCACCGTTATTTACTGAAAGATTGTCACCACCATTTGAATCAACCTCCATTCTATGAGAATAAAAAATGAAATTCAAATAGAATGATTTTAGAATGATTATTTTATAAGATTATTGGAAACTTTGAAATTGTTATGTTCAAATTTAAATGTAAACTCTGAAACTGTTATGTTCAAATTTAAATGTAAACCTCCATTCTATGATTATTTACATGTTCACTATCATAAATTTAAATGTAAACTTTGAAATTGTTATGTTCAAATTTACATTGTGATAATTTAAATTTATGGTATAACTAAATTATAGCAACTTCAATTTCAACCTCAACCTCACATAGTCATGGTATATGTGATTTTGAAACTGTTATGTTCAATTTCAACCTCAACTTTATTTTCAAACTTTGAAACCGTTATGTTCAATTTCAACCTCAACTTCAATTTCAAACTTTGAAACTGTTATGTTCAACTTCAACCTCACATAGTCATGGTATATCACAGAACACATATTAAGCCCTGTTAAAAAGTTCATAATAAGTTCATTACATTTATGAAACTGAAAAATAATTTCAGCTCATAATAAGTTCATAAACTAGTTCATAATAATTATTCTATATTTCTGAAACTGAAAATTAATTTTAGTTGATAATAATTTTAGTCTTGCCACAATGAATTTAAACCATGAAACTAATAGTGGCCTTTGTTTCGATCCCCAATGAATTTCAATGAAACTAATATGAAATGCAGGTGTATCTTTTAATGTTTTATAAACACAATCAGAATGAGGAATTTATATACAGACATGTCACAGAGATTGATCAATGTATGTAAAGAAAGAGAGAGGGAGAATGAGGGGTTTTCGAGTAACATTACCTGACAAAATGCTATCGGAATGCGATCGAAGATCCGTAGAGCGAGATACAGAGAGTTATGGAGAGCTATGGCCGTCGACGGAGGAGAGCTATGGCGGACGCATGATGGAAAATGGAAGAAGGAAGAGGGACATGGGTGGAGAGTTATGGCCGGAGAGCTTCCCGCTTTTTTTTGGTCTTTGTTTTCAGCATATATATATATATATATATTTTGGTCTTACAGGTGCGTGTATCACACCTTCCTTATTGTGCAATTGTTCTTCACATGACTTCAGCAGGTGCCACCTCAGAGGGGGTCATGGGGGTAGGTTTTGGAGGGGGTCCGCATCACTTTTGATAGATATTCCACTTTCCCTTGTTTGTAACCAATATTAGGAGGCTTACTAAAGTACCCATTATAGTTGTTCTCAAAAATCATTTTTTTTTTACCTCACTACAAAAAACAACAAAACTTCACAATATTGCATTACAAAACTCAAACTCATTGGGACCACATAACAATAATCATAATCATTGGACCACACTATTTAATTCATATTTGATTATTAATTCAATTCCTCAATATTTAATTCAAATTCCCTTGGGGCCACAACAAAATATGCCCCACCTTCACCAAAATTCAAAAACATTACACCAATACAGACATGACATGCATGAAAAATTACAAAATCTCTGAATAGAAATAGAATATATGAATACAGCTATAAACAAAATATATGAACATAATACCCAATCTACAAGTCAACATCATAAAAAAAATCCAAAGTTAACATCATAAAAAAATGCATGTTGTTTATGAACCTTTATACCTCACATCCCACTTTAACCAACATTCCAAAAAAATAAAGTAATAAAAGGTATGAATACAAAAAACTAAAGTATATGAAAACAAATATGTGAATAAAAAATACCCAAAGTTAACATCATGAAAAAGAAAATACCCATTATTTATGAAGCTTTATACCCCACCCCCACTTTAACCACAATTCCCAAAAATTAAAACAATACAAGCAGACCATGCATAAAACATTACAAATTTTGTAAATTGAAGTCAACACACAAACTCAGTTATGAATCAAAATTAGAAAAAATCAACAACTAACGATCAAAATAAATTTGGGTAAACACCACATACCTAAACTAGTAATGACATTCGCAATGCGATGGTGAAATCAATGATAAAACCCTAGTTCAATCCAATCAACCACAGTGAGAGAGAGAGAGAGAGAGAGAGAGAGAGAGAGAGAGAGAGAGAGATATGTGAATACTGGTATTAGTCAACTGAAATGAAACGATTGAGGGATGTAAAATATCTAGGGGCATTTGATTACGTCCGTCGGATATTGCACTCTAGTATGAAGTATAGGAGGTTTAAGTGTTATAAATGAAACTATAGGGGGGCTCCGTGTTTTTGAGGCAAACCACTGGGGGTTAAATTATAATTTACCCTAAATTTTAAAATAATATAACTTTTGATTTAGATATTGGTTTTTAATAAAATTAGTATTTTTAGAATTTTCTCATCAAGATCTATCAAATAAGATCGATATTGATTATGAAATTCTTAAAAAAAATTAGTACCGCCAAATTGATGTAAGCAGTAACATGTTACTTTATTTTATAGAAACATGTTACTGTATCTCACAGTAATATGTTACTCTAGTTTAGAGTAACATGTTGCTTTAGTTCATAATAATATGTTACTTTGACAATATTGTTTAAGAAATTTTTTTTTTACTTTATTCTTAATCAATTATACGCCTCTTTCTTAGGGGATTTATGAAGCAAAATAAATTAAGCGATCCTTTCACCAAATAAGGGTCTAATGGAAGGGTTTTGACTAAATTTCCTAATATCGTATCATATAAAAAAAAAAAAAAGAAGAAGAAGAAGAAGAAGAAGAAGAAAGAAATCTTGGCAATCAAACAATCTTGAAAACTAAACAATTTGAAAATTAATAAAACCTAAATGAGCCAATCTAAATGTTGCCAAAAAAAAAAATAATAGTAATAAAATTAAAAAAAAACATAAATGAAATTATTTTATTTTTGCTAATTCAGTAAAACAAATAAGAGAAGTTTTATTCTTGATAATCAAGTCAAGCATTCTTGTTTCATTTACGTGCATCAACTAGGATACAATTATTGTATTTCACACAGTCTCTGTCTCTCTCGCTTGTCAATCCAGCAAAGTGTTTGGCATTATGGCATTACAGGGCCACAAATCTTGAGAAACGAAGTGCTGGGGATAATAGGTGATTGATAGCCGCTTACAACTACAGGGATTGTTTTGAAGTAACACAATCCAGACCCATCCGACAACGATGTCGACCCAACACATGACCTACTCGCAACACAATTCAATCTACATGCCGTTATACCCACAAAGAACACCTGCGAATCCAACTCTGGTGGATATGTCAACAACCTCGTATTCTCCAACTCCAACATTGTTGTATTCCCACCACAATCCTTAATCTCCACCTTCCTCTTACACCCTTTTCTATTATCTTTCGGATCAATCGGTTCAAAGTTTTTCGATGGACACCCACAAATTGGATTCGGATTCGAACCATTGTAACTACAGATACCCATGTCTCCACAGTAGCCGAAAACTTGACATTGATCGCTTAAAGCTGCCCATCTCACTGTGCTTGTTCTACTACCTTTAGCAGAGCTATAGATTCTCAAATTTCCATCACTGTCCAATTTCAAGAATCTGAGTATTTCAGACCCTTCAGCATAATCATTGGTATAGGCCACGATGACAGGGTTTGGAAGCGATTGATCGAAAAGGGATAGAATGCCAATTGATTGAAGTACTAAACTTGGTGATGTCAAGTTTGTGGTTTTGTTGTTGATTGATGAAGTTAAACCCGAATTCCAATAAACAATAGAGTCGTTCCATCTGAGAATTAAGTCTCCAGAGCTGAGAAGATTGAAAGAGTAAAACCCAGATCGCAGAACTTGGTTTGGTGTGAAATTTTGATTGGGCAAGATTGTATCGGTTGGGTTATCGAATGTGGACCAAACGGTGACATTTCCTTTACGGAGGACGAAGTTGCCGGAGTCGTCGAGGGCGGCGGAGGAGACGCCGAGGCCGGCGGTGTTGGACTGCCAAATGACGGCGGAGGAGCCGTTGAGGAGGCGGAGGTTGCCGTCGGGGAGGAATTGGAGGGAGGAGGAGGGGTCGGCGGCGGCGGAATCACCGCCGGCTATCCAGACGGGGATGATGTTGTCGAAGGTGATGGCGGCGGAGAAGGTGGTGGAGCCGCCGTGGGAGATGAAGCGGAGAGAGAAGGTGTTGTTTGGGGAGGTCCAAGTTTGGTTTGGGTTAGAGGCGTAAAGGGTTGAGCCTGGTGAAATGTCAGCTGCTGCTGAGATGAGGAGGAAGAAGAAGAAGAAGAAGAGAGAGAAGAGGGTTGATAGTAGAGTAGATTGTGGCTTCATTTTTTTCTTCTTCTCTCCCTGTGGTCTGTGTGTACCTCTCTGTTTCTCTCACACTAGTCACTTCACAACTATATGTGTATGTATATATAAACATGCATATGTGGAGCTGGGATGCACAGGAAGAGAGAGGAGAGAGAGAAATGTGGGAAACCACATTTTGACTTGGAACAGAGAGGTTGGAATTTGGAACAGAGAGGTAGGAAGAAGACTGGTGTCATTCTGTTTGGTAGAATTTTTTTTGCAAGCTAAAATTTGATATTCACAAGGAAGAAGATGAGAGTATTTTTTTTTTTTTTAGCTTTTAAATAGTTAGTGTTTTTTTTAGTTTATTTAAATTATTCTTGTCTAATAAGTTAAAAATAGAAACTGTATTAAACAATTCAACAAGGCTCGGTAACTCAAAATTTTGTGGCTCAAATGACTCAAATCACTCAAAACGACGTCGTCTTGACAAATTTTGAGTATAAAACGACATCGTTTTGACAAATTTGAGCCATTTAAATCACAAAATTTTGAGTTACCAAACATTTTTCTAAACAATTTAATACAAACTTTCAAATTAAAATAAGTTATAATCATTTCTTAAAATTTATATCAAACAGTTCTATTGTTTTGCCACGTAGAGAGAGTTTAGTTTCTGTGAGATGATCTAATTTGATTAAACTAGTTAATAAAAACAAAAAAATATTTAAATAATTAATAATATAAAATGTTATATTTTATAAATAAATTAATTATTTTTTCTCTCATAATTATTTATATAATTACAAAAAAATTTATAAATCATCATAAATAAATAAAAATTTAATCTCACAAAATAACTATAATTAAAAAAATGAATACTTGGGTTGGGGACCGAGTCTTTGTCTGGGGGCTTTTGTTCAAAGAAATTGTGTGGGGGTGGAGAAGCTTCTAACATTAAAGAAATTGTGTGGGGGTGGAGAAGCTTCTAACATTACTGGTCAAGTGGCTGCTGTAAGACCGAGAGTATTTGAATTGAATACATTTTCAATCTCAAAATAGTAGTATTTTTTTTTTGGAGGATTTAATTTTTTTTATAATATAATTATTACATTTTAAAAATTTTAACTTTTCAAAACTACCCTTTAGTAGTATAATTATTATATTTTAAAAATATTAATGTTAATAAATTTTAAAAAATGACAAAATAGAAAATTAATATTATTTTAGTTATTGATTTATAAAAAGGGAGTAATATTTTAGGATGAAGGAAGTACTTTTATTTTTATTTTTGAATAAATTATAGTTTTTTTTTTAAGATTTAAAAAGTAATATAATAAATTATATAATTTTGATATAATTACATTGAAATTTTTTGTAATTTTTTGCCTCCTTTCAAAACTCAACTATCAATCACTTTTAAGTATTATCTTATTACAATTAATCACTTTCATTAAGATTTTGTTAAGAGTTTACACAAAATTAAATCATATGTTAAGTGCATGACGCATTTATTAAAATTTTAAGATAATAATGCATTTCCAATCTAAAAAAAGAGAAATAATAATGTTTTTATCTGTGATCTCATTTGCACTTTACTACTAAGATATGAGAGTTAAAATGTAAATCAGATCACCAGATAAGATTATTATTATTTTAAAAAAATACAAATAAGTATATCATGTGATTCACATGACTTGATTTCATTTAAATTCCAAACAGAATCTTAATGGAATGGGTTAATACTTTGAGGTGGTTTACTGTTGAATTTTGATATTTAGGGAGGCAAAGTCACTACAACATATAAGAGTTTTAGAAATCAAATATTTTGGTCTCTAAAAGTGAAAATTTTGTTATAAAAGATACTTAAAAATTAATTTCTATTGTCACATGGATAGTCGCTGATAGGTTGTCCCGAAAAGTCAAAAATAAGTTTTTTAGCGAAATTTTTTGAAAATGTCACTAATAATAAGTAGACTTTTAGGGACAAAATGATTTGGTCTCAAAATGATTTTTTTTTAGACAAAAAATTTGGTCTCAAAAAGATAATAATTCATCACTAATGTCTAATTTTTGTTGCTAAAAATATAATGACGACACTTTTCGTAACAAAAATATTTGGTTCCCAAAAAATAATTTTGTTTCTAAATTTTGGTCTCTAAAGCTTTAATTTGTTGTACTGAGTGTAAATAAGTCATAATTTAAGAAAATTTATCATAATTTACCCTTTAATTTATATCACTTAATCTCATTTTCATTAATAATTTGTTAGTTATATGGGAGGAAAAATGATAATTGTCATTACTTTTATATGAAAATGTATACTTATAAACATTATTTATTTTTGTGTTTTCGCAATATCAACATTAATTTTGATTTAACCTTGTAAAAAAAAAAATCAATATAATTATGTTAAAATTATAATATTTATTGTACTTTTTCTAAATCTCAGGACAGATCAATCTAATTTATCCTTTATTTTTTTTATATAGATAATATGCATATTAATCAACTTTTTTGAATGGACATATTAATCAACTTACCTCTAACATTTTTTTTCCCCTAGGTTACACAATTAGATAATTTTCTAATATGTTTGTAGAGTTAAATTACCATGCTATTAGATTGACTGGAACTTGAAATCTCTAAACTAATGTTTGGTTTAATTTTTAAAATATGATTTGGATAAAAAAAATAAAAAAATAAAAGAGGAAAAAGGTTTGATTAGTTTATAAACTTTTAAAATATAGTTTAAAACTCAATTTTTTTCCTCTTTGATTCTATTTTTATTATTATTTTTTTTCCCCTAGGTTACACAATTAGATAATTTTCTAATATGTTTGTAGAGTTAAATTACCATGCTATTAGATTGACTGGAACTTGAAATCTCTAAACTAATGTTTGGTTTAATTTTTAAAATATGATTTGGATAAAAAAAAATAAAAAAATAAAAAAATAAAAGAAGAAAAGGGTTTGATTAGTTTATAAACTTTTAAAATATAGTTTAAAACTCAATTTTTTTCCTCTTTGATTCTATTTTTATTATTGTTATTTATTATTAATAAATCAATCAATCATTATTCTCTCTCCTCTCTCATCTCTCATTCTGTCACATTCTACACATCAATCAATCAATCAAATTTTCTCACACCCATCTATTCAACTTTAAAAAAAAAAAATCAAAAAAAAAAAAAAAGGCAAACTACTTTTCAACTTTCAAAACTCTTTTCAACAACTTATTTTTTAAAATATAACTCAAAACTCATTTTAAAAACTAAACCAAACATAGCCAAATTTTATTTTTTTTTAGATATGATAAATTTTGAATGTTTATCTGACAAATTTTGAACATCTAACTCATTCAAACCATGCGGTGGGACAAAAAAAATAAAAACACTCATCCTTTCTATACTTTGCACACGCACCCTACAATTCAAATATATTCTTTTAATTCTCAATGTAACATACTCATCAAAAACTCTATGTACTAAAAAAAAAGAGGTCCGGAAAACGAAATGCATGCTATATATGGTGCACATCTTTTAAAAGGTGACATCATATGTATTTTATAATTAAAAAAAATATATAATTTTAAATTAATTTTTGAGTCATAATTAAAAAATGTTATATATAAACATAACATTAGACATAACTAAAGAATTCATGAGTCATAACTAAAATAATATCATAATTAAAGAAAATATTGATCATAACTAAAGAAGAAAATGACATAATTAGAGGTGTATATGGTACACATTTTTTAAAGGAGTGTATATTAAAATTTTCCTATATTTTAAACATGATGTATATAGGTCATACATGAAATACATCTAGTTTATATACTTTATTTTATGAATAAATGAAGGGAGTAAGATAATATTAGTTAATAATTGAGGGAAACATTTATATGAATTTTATAATTAAAGTAGTAATCAAAATGTACAAGTTAATAAATGAAGCGAATAAGTTGACATTTGCTAATAATTGAGGGGTCATAGCATAATTAACCCTAAAAAAATACATGTAAATATAGCACATGCTAAATTAGAGTACACAATTTTGAAAAAAATTTGGCCATCAAAACTAGGAATGAATTGTATGGCTTGGCAAAGAACAATTATAAAATTTCATGTATCTAATATTTTTTTTTTTGAAATAACAATATCAATATATATATTTTAAAAATTATTTGTGGTTTAAAAAGTTTAAATTAGGAGATTTATTGAAAATATAGGATAGATATTGATAAGTTCGAATTTTTTTATTTTTTAAATGATAATAGTTTGATTCTTCTAGTATATATGAATTGAAAAGTCTCCAACAAGTCTCCCATAATTTTCAACATTGAATTGTGGTTTTTAAGTTGAAATATTAAAACTTTTAGAAATGCATGAAATTTTATCCGTTTGTTTGGGTGGAAGATATTTTTTGTATTTTTTGCTATTTGGTACAATATAAAACGAAAGTTAACAAAAAATATTTTCCATAGTCAATGGAAAACAAACTTATTTGGCCAGAAAATGTTTTTCACTTTTAAAAAGCGGAAAACATTTTTCTAATTAAAATTTTACCAATATCATCACACCACCACCACCCATCTCACTTCTACCACCATCACCACGGCCACCGCCGCCATCAGTGCCACCGTCATCCCAACACCACGCGACCACCTCTACATCCACTTTTGTTCAACTACCACCACCAAGCATAGAAAAATATTTTCTAGAAAAAAATTTTGGTAAACAAATGGAGCGTACACATTCTAAATTCCCAATTTAGATTTGTGAAAAAGATGTTGGTTAAAAAAAATAGTCCAACTCGCGTACTTTTCAGAAAATGGAAGGTAGGGTTCTTCTTCAAACCGATTCAAATGATGAACTCGATTGGTCTGACCGACTCGATCAAAGAACAGACGGTTTCACTCTATGTTTTGGTTGGTAGCGGTTTGGGAATCCATTATTTCTTGGTTAGACAGTTAGTGATTGAGTCTAAAGTCCAAGAACTGCACAAAACCGATTCGAACCACTTATTTATTATAATTAAATTTATTATTAGATTTACACATTTCACCATATTATACAGCAATGTACACCTGTCATCATTATTTTATGTCTTTCATAGTGATGGAAAATATCAGTCACACTAACCTAAAAATATTATCATCTCTCTCATTTATTACTCCATTACAAATTTCGAACATCACAAATCTATTTCATTTTCTCTTTTCAAGACTCATCTCCGTCATTTATT